TTTGCATGCTAATTGCTGTCTCAATTGCTATTTCATTATTTGCAGAAACTCTTAAGAAATATGTAGAACATTTTAGATAGTACAGCTGAGACTCACTATAATCTTTAAGCAAATCTACTAGATGTGTGAACAACACTGTCGTTCAACCAAGAGCCAAAGGGCAGTTGCCAGGCTCGTCAATACCGTCATTCACTACACTGAGGTTTTTGGTTCATGCCAAAAGATCAAGGCAAATGTTCTGCAGTGTACACTTATCCAAGGATGCATTTTTTGCTTTTGTTTTTGTTGACATACAGAGAACTGTACATATTTAATGTATACAGCTTGATGAGCTCCAAGGTAAATATACTCCAAGAAACTATACCATAAGTATCATCTCTGTCACCTCCCCAAGATTCTTCCTGTCCTCTATTTGCTTATTTTGCATGTGCGATAAGAACTTTTAACTTAATAGCTACCCTCTGAGAAAATGTTTACATGTAAAATATAGCATTGCTAACAATAGGCACTATGACGTACAGTAGATCTCTAAGACTTACTCATTTTGCATAACTGAAATTTTGTACCTTTTGAGTATGTTGGAGGAGGTCATCCAGAAGATATTACTACTGATTGACATGTGAGCTATACCAGGACAATTGGAGGATGGTTGCCACCTTCCCTGTTCTTGGAATATACATTCTACTCACTGTTCTCATAGCCAGAGCTGTTTCAAATATGCAGCCTTGAGAGAGCAATGTGTTGTTGAGACCATATGGAGTGTCCATGTGGCTGAACCCCACTTAAGACAGCCATATAAACTTTTAAGATTCTGGTGGGTGAGTGCCCAGGACACATCTCATATATAAGTTTCCTTCTTATTAAAACAGCCACCTACAAATCAGAAGTGGCCTGCCTCTTTCTTTAGTCTTTCCTTGCCCTCTGTGTATGGGGGCCTGATTATAGATTTCACCCAGGGAACTCCTGAGAATTGCAAACTAACAAGCTCATACCTCGAAGTGTCCCTTTCTCCCTAACCCCTGGCAACCATTTGTTTACCCACATATAGTGCAAGAAGATACATTTAAGTCATTGTTTTATCTTCTATGAAGTTTATGAACTAAAAAAATGAATGTGCTTTGTGGATACATGTCATGTCTATTAAGGTCAAGCATATCATTTGCTCAATTTACTTTTTACAACATACATTTTAGCAACAGTGGTGTTATATTGTTATTGGATGTTTTTAATACCTCAGTTTATCCCGTTACTAATGTGTTGTTTTTTCATACTTAAAGATGTTTATATATTTTCCTTTCTTCCCAAATGCAATGCTTCTTAGATTCATCTTAGAAGGTTTTATATACTAATAAATGAAAGAGTCCATGAGACATGGAATCTCACTACTGACCATTAGGTAAAAAAATTCAAAATTCATTTCCAGTTTGGGAATTGAAATATCTTCAGATGAGAAAATAATAGCCAAATTAAAAATGGCTCCAATCCTTGGACATGCAAGGTCATCCTTGAATTTTCATTCTCACTATGATATTGCCATGGTATTGGCAATCTTTTCATTAAAAATGAAAAGAAGACAATAAAATTTAACTATGCCACATGATACACTAACAAAATAACTATAAAATATATTTTTTAAATTATTCTATGAAAAAATTCTTTTTGGCAAAATTTGTCTGCTAAGCAGACTTGTGTATGTAACCTTTTAGTTGAAGGCTTACAAATTTGCATTTTGTGATTATATTTACTTTCTATTTCAAATATTCTGACATTTATTTTTAAATCATTATTTTGTATATGATCTGTCATATCTTTAGTGATGTATTTACCATTTTGTGTAAATTATATAAAGTTTTAGATTCCATCAGCCATCAGCCACTGCTGCACAAGGATTTTGGGGAAAAAAAAGAAGAAATGGTCACATCTCCGTAGCTCATTTGGGGAGAACACTATTTAAATCTGTTCTTAACATAAGGCTGAAATTAATCTTGATTTCCCGTCAAATGTACAGGGATTTTACAATATAGTTCATAATAGTGTTTAACTCCTCTAGGGTACAAGTTAAGATAAACAAGTCACTGACAGTGTTTATCTATAAATATAGCAGATGGTGTGGGACTGAGGTTGGTTATTAACTGTGCCGACTTTAATTTCATGGTTATAAAACACTGTAAACCTCACTGTTTATAAAAGGCAGAGGAGAATCTCCAATGGGCTTCAGTAGCCAAGAAACCCTCTGTAACATTAATCTCTCTAACTGATATTCGGTATCCTCCTAGGGGGCAATATTTAAGATTGTGGAGTGATTGCTAGACACATTAAAATTTTCACTGGGATCATTAGCTAACATTTCTGTCATTGATCTATTATAACTTTGTTAATGAGTTCCATGTGAGTGAAATTTAGTGAATGAGACGATTCTTTCTAAATTTTGCTAGGTGAATATTTAACAATCACTTTCAGCAGATATATTTAAAAAGTAGCCTAATTTGTCACAATAGTAACCTTTTTTCTTATGCAAAGATGAATCATTGTACCTAACTAGACCAAATGTACTTAGGGATAGAATTTCATAAAGGAAAATGATGGCATTCAAATAATTAGCCAATGTACATTATATACATTTACATTTGAACCATGAACCTGCCTCAAAATGTTATAGAATTAAAAATTTTTAAATGTTTAAAACATCACAAAATGTCTAGGATTTTTTCTTTTTTTCCCTTTTTCTTTCCCTTTTTATTTTAGAGAGAAAGAGAGCATGAGTGGGGAAAAGGGGCAGAGGGGAAGAGAGAGAAAAATTGAAAGAGAGAGAGAATCTTAAGCAGGCTCCTCACCCAGCATAGACCTGACATGGGACTCTATCTCAGGACTCTGGAATTCTGACCTGAGCTGAAATCAAGAGTTGGACACTCAACCAACTGAACCACCCAGTCACCCCAACATAGAATTTTTTTTTAACTAAAACTACCCTTCATATTCTGAATTTATTTGAGTATAAACTTTTAATATAATTGGTTTCAATTAAATTTGTAAGATGATTTTGATTAAAATTCTTCCAATAAAGGAACCACTAGTATAAAAATGGTATTATTTGAAATAGCTCAATTTTACCATTCTAACTTTAGTGAACAAGAAAAAGTATTTTATAACCACAAAACAAACAAACAAACAAAGAAATTTGCACACTCTTCTTCTATTCCTTTTACATTTAGAAGAGGTTGATTTTTTAGTACCTAAGAAAAACTTCTAGAAATATATGATGATCCAATATGTAAATCAGAGACTTAAAAATGTTGAACTAAAATGTTTTCACTGTATTAGAGTTTAGACTTCTCGAAAACAGGTTTTCTAATAACAAAATCTTCACATTTCCACCTCTTATGTTTGGCTCCTTCTCTTGACCCCACTCTGAGATCTTTGTTACTGATCTGAACTCTGTCTTCTGTGCTTTCTGCTGATTATTCTTTTTTGTTTGTTTGTTTACAACTGTCTATGAGTTTTTTCCTGAAAAGTAAATTAAAGCAGTATTAAATTACCAACATTCAGCACAAAAGTGACAAAATACTTGAAAACACACAACACCTAAAGCCACATTTAAGTAGACAGTGGGTTAAAGGTAACAGAATATGATACAGCTATAGGATTTACTGTAATTGAGGTTAAATATTGACATGGTAGAAATTAATACATTGTTGAAAGAAAAAATATCTACATTAACATATATGGTCTAGTAGATAACTACAAGAGCAGAAACAATAAAACAATCTTGTGGTACATATATGATATGCAGAACACTTCTCTCCACATGGAGGAAACTGCACAAGTTGCCCACAATATTGTCGAAGTTGTCTGCTGATTATTCTTAACATAGACCTCAAATCTTGGCTTCCAACAGCAGGCTTCTGAACCGCAGCAACCCGAGATGGAGAGAGGGTGGAATGGGACTAGGGCTAACACATCTCCCCATCTCCCTTCCTACCCAGAGCCTCCTGTCACTCATTGTCATCAGATATATTATCCACTATTTGATGCACTAATTTCTACAAACAACAGTCTACTCATACGTAGTCTTGCAGTTCTAAAATTCATGAAACAATCAGAGAGGAGAGCAAATCTTCTCTCAAGAAGAAGACTTATCTCATCTCCCTGCACCTTTTTGAAAGACTAAAATCCTACCTGAATCTTCATCATCAAAGAAATAGGTTATTGGGCTTTTGGTATGTTCGACATTCATACTTGTGTTGAACTGAGTCAAGGCTAGGATGATTTCACTTCAAATTATCAGTGAAAGTCACCTAAACTGGGCCTGTTAATTAGTTTTAAGGATCACGTGTTTTTCTCTTGTGAATTGTGAAGTAGAAATGTGTTTAGCAAAATTTTCCCATGAAGACTAGGGCTATAGAGTCACCAGGAGTTTCCCCTAAGTGTAACAAAAAATAGGTAACAACAATAGAAATTGAAGGAATTTAAAAGAGACAGAATAGGGAAATAAGTAAAGTTGGATGTTGAAGTCTGAGTGGAGGGGTGAACAGAGTGATTGCAGTTTAGAGACTCTATAGGAATTCATAAATACAGTGGGTCTTAGGGAAAATTGATATCATTAAAGGCACATAAAAACTATCACTCTTGGGGGAGAAAAAGTAATCTTTTCTATATCATAATGGGTAGCCTAAAGTTGCTGCTTCCCACCCCTGGCCCCCAGTCTCTATATAAGGTGCAATGAACTGTCATAAAATTTAATCTACTTTTCTAATCACGGTTTGGGAAAGAAAAAAGACAAAACAGTTTCTGTAAAGAAATGATCTGATTAAAAGGTAGAAAAAAGAGCTGTTAAAATGTAAGGAAAGTGCTCCCACTTTTATCCTCATCTATCAGATTTTATTAAGATAGTGTGAAAAATAAATCGCTGCCTTATAATACAAAGCAAGTTACAACCTATGGAGAAAAAGTAATGTGAAACACTTAAATACTGTAATCTCATTTTCATTATTCTCTTTCAGATTATCCAACTCTGTCTAATGTCAAAGGCATTGCATTGCGTAAAAGAAAACATGCAAAGGAAATAACTCTAAGTGGATTTCATTCCCCTTTCAATGGTCAGTTAAAAAAGAAATCTATCCTCTATTTTTACTATTTATTCTCTCTAAAAATCCATTAATTTTTTTAAACCTTTTCTTTCTAGGAGAAGTAATCTATGCTGTCATGTGCATGACAGTCACCTGTGGAATCCTTCTCCTGGTTATGCTCAAGCTGAGGTAACTGGATACAACTCGGAAGGGAAGGGCTGGAACAGAATCAGCCTAGTTAAAGCACATTTCACAATGGCAGACTTTACAAAGGGCCTGAGAATGAAATCTTCTCTGTTAAGACATACTAAATCATTTTTTAATGTGGGAGAGGTCCATGGAAACAATACTCTAAGTCTTCACATGCAAGAGAAATGTGATCAGGGAGATTTTTTTTTTATGTCGCATTTTATAAGCACATGTGCATTGTTCCCCCCAATTAAACTGTTATCAATCTTTTCCCTGGTTTTCCTACAAAATCCAAGTTGAACTTTGCTGCATTCCTTATTCAAATCATTTGCAGAATTGATCATCTTACAGAACGGAGCTGCTGTGTACTTCATACAGTTTATATTTACCTGAAGATTTCCTCTTCACTCTAATTTCTTATATGCTAATAAACATTATTCATGTTTTAATATACAATTATTAAAAGAGAGATTTAATGAAGCCTCCCAAGGTACCCGTAGAAAGACTTATTACTATTTCCTGACATTCATTCACTCTTTCCAAATCTGTTTCCTTGGCTGCCCTCATTTCTGGCATGCAGTACTGTTCCAGCAGCCATGCGAGACTTATATTAGAAATATATCAATCTCTAGGTTTCTAAATGTCCAAGGCCTAAAATGTTTCCACTTATTTAACATTGAAAAATAGATACAAAATGGTGTGCATTTGCTTACCTTTCATTTAAAAAACCTTCATATTTATTAATCAGTGATGTTCATTTTCTTATTCATTATACATGTGTGTATATTTGCATATAATTTGAGTATCATTTAATGAAGAAATATATGTATGTTTGCATATATGAATATATATCGTGTATACACCCCCCACACACACACACACATAAAGTACTTATCAATACGATTAGGCCTAGGGAAGAGCACTAGCAATAGACATTTCTCCAATGGCATTCAGAGGAGGACTCAGTAAACTACCCAATGCATGTACATGTACTGCTCTTCCTTAAATCTTGTGTGTTAAGGCCTTGAAAACCAGGCAGATAACATGAAAGACCTTAGTGAAGAGGCATAGGGCAATACAAAGAGGTCAGGCATATGAGTCTATGTTCTGCCTAAAAATATTCAAATGTATTTATTTTTTAATGTAACATCTACCTATTGGATCCCACTCCACTGAACCATTAATTTGGTGCTTACCAACACCAGTACCCTAACAAATTTCTTTTCTCCAAGAACTTAAAGGCTGTATTTATATGGGAAGATGTTTCCTTGGGTTCCAAGATACAGTTTAAAGGCCAAATAATTAGAATCATTTTCGAAGGGGGAAAATGGCATTTATTAAACTTAACTTTATTGGTTCAAAATACTTGAGAGCACTGTTCAATTACTGGGCCTACCTAGACATTCCATTACAGACATATTGTTCAGAGAGACACAGATGGTTTTCTAGCCTGGCAAAAATCTTATCTTAATGGTTCTGAATCTTTATTTCTTAGACAAACCTAATATATAAAGTTCATATCTACCACATAGACTAATGAGTTTTTACAGATTACTATCGTGCCATAGATAAATAAGGTGTTGCCTAGTGAAATTCCCTGTGTGTTGGCTGTAAGTTCATCTCCTTTCTCATTTGCATAGAAAGGCCTCTCCCTTGATTGCATGACAGTGGGGATGTTTTAGACAAAAATCTTGAATTTAATGTGTATTCTAAGGCAAATCATTCATACTCAAGTATACCACATTGAGTTACAAATTATTTTCTGTACAATTTAAAATTGATTCTTAACCCTTAATCTGAAAGATCCAGAAAGTAAATGATCTAGGGTTAAGTAAATGACAAAATTACAAGCCATCATGGAAAGAACATAGCAAACAAAAGCATCAGTAACAACAGAATTCATGTTACCCTACATCTGGAGATGACTGGTGCCTCTTTAATGAAAGAAGGCTGAGAACCACTTCAGGCATTGTTCACTCTCCTGGTGGTCAGGTTTAATCCACGTAAATACCTTCTGCAATATAGGTTAGCACTTTTACATTTGTTTCATATTATGCAAAATTAAAACAACCCTAAACCTTCAGAAAAATTCTCAGAGAAACCAATCATTTAAAACTTAAATATTACATAAAGATAAGCAATTTGAAACTTAAATGTGACTTAAAAGAGTCTTTTAAAAAATGATTCCTTGGCAATCACAGTTAAATGCATGATGCTTCTTAGAAAAACCATAGAATATTTAACCATTGGGACTTTACGTTCAGAAACTTAATTATATTTTTCTCTCCGGGCATAGAATCCATCCAAAAATATAAGTACATAGAAGCTCATTTATAAAATCATGAAAATGGCATGTTGTTAACGTTTACTTTTACTTTTATATAGAACTTCCAGAATATCAAGTCAAACAAGAGATCATTCACCAGTCCAAATACTAGAGGACTTATGATTCATTAAGAGTCACGGATCATTAACAATCACTTTCTTTACAGGAAGTCTTCATTGCCAGTCAACAGAATATCCTATCTGCCATCAATAAGGAAAATGTGAAGAAGGATCTAATGATACTAGATCGTTAAGTATAATAATATAAGAAATTGTAATATGGCATGATGCTAGATTTACTTTTTTCTTAAGAAAACATTGGAGTCAAAATGTATGGTAGCATCTTTTGTGACATTGGTAGAAAATTAAAGTCTCCCTTGAAGGCAAAATGTGTTATCCCAAGTTACAGTCTGCATGATTTGTTTCATGATAAATTTGAATCCATATACTAGTAATTATTTGCATCAAAATACAATATATTATGGTTAGCAGGGTTTTTTTTCTGATTAATTTTACAGATTCCCATTGGCTTGCCAAAAGGAAAGTGCTAATAGATATATCCAGTATAATTTGTTATTTGTGTATTATTACTAATTTTCACATCACAGATCATGGTGTCTTTGTCTTTTGTAACTTAAATACTGTTGAATTTCACTTTTTTAACTTGATATCTTTATTTCATACCTACAAAAATGTAGAGCAACACATTGCCTGAAAAAAAAATCAATGTGCATTTTAATAATGACATACTTCATTTTATTTTTTTCTGTGTTAATTAGTATGAACTTCTGAGGTAATAAAATAATACTATAATTGTTACATTCTATATTGTTTCTATACATTACTTGTGGCCTGATTTGACACCAGACTGCAATTGTGATTAGAAAATTGTGAAAAAGGTGTTTGTTAGTTTAGTTGTTGGTACATATATGTTTTTCAGCTGCCTACAATCACATAATACCCACTGCTATAAATGAATAGGAGGTTTCATTATCTACAGTGGCACAGAGACACAAATATTCAATAATCTGAGCATAGTGATAAATAGTGATATATTCACACTTAAAGGTCAAATATTTTTCTGTTTGGTCCCATATCTATTGCTATGTTTCTATTGTTTACTCTGCTTCAGATTAAATAGTCTACATTAAATTAAATTTGAAGTTAACATTTGGCTGTAATTACTCAAAGTACCTGAACAAAGCTATCCTTTATCTTTAAAAACAGGCAAGAATGATTTGGTGAGTCACAAATCTGCCTCAAGGAGTTCTACATATTGCAGGATCTTTGAGCTCTCTACGTTATCTGAGGAGAATGTAGGCACTTCTCTTTTCCCCACTCCCTGCCATTTAACATGGGCTTGCTATATTAACATGGGCAGAAACATAAACTGTTTCTGGAAAACTGAAAAAAAAGTCAAGTTGCTTTTAGAAATATGTTCATGTACAGCAGAGAAGGTGAGGACCATGTGACATAGATGATGCCCTTTCAAAAGAGAATCCTGTCTCCTAGACCAGCAAGATGGACAGGCCACTGGGGGCAGAGTTGCAGGACTAGGAATCCACATGCAGCATTTGGAGAACTTTAAAGAATCAGCTGTCTCTTGACAGGGAGTCCAAATTGAGAAAATATGGAACATAAAACTGACAAACACCATGGCTGAGACACAAAAGGTCCTTAAACATGTGGCTAAGAAGTCAAGATACTATAAATGTGGCTCTCAGGCCCCTGCAGTGCATGGCCCGCAAACCACCCCCATCTTTCATTCCTCTGTCCTCTAGAAAGCCTTTCCCCGCTGCCTTTTCCTGCTCTGCAGTTAGGTGCTCCTGCTCAGTGCTTCCCTCCTTTTAGACTACTATGTCTTACTGCAATTTATATTTCATTATTGTTTTTCTTAGTAAATTGTAAACCATCTGTTGATTCATCTCTGATGTCCCTTTCTTTACACATGTTAATAAAAACTGTTTAATGAATGAGTTGGAAAACTATAAAGTACCACAAAATAATTTGAAATAAGGGAGGGACATCCAACATATGAATGAGAATAGACGAGCAGGCAGAAATGTAAATGATGGACAGAAGATAGCAAACAGGTGTGTCAAACAGTCTGTTAAAAATTCACTACAGTGTTGAGCTAATAAATATCAAAAACCCTGGGCACCTGAGTGGCTCAGTCAGTTGAATGGTTGAATGTCCGACTTCAGCTCAGTTCATGATCTCATGGTTCATGAGTTTGAGCCCCATGTCAGGCTCTATGCTAAGAGTTTAGAGCCTGGAGCTTGTTTCAGATTCTGTGTCTCCCTCTCTCTCTCTCTGCCCCTCCACTACTCATGCTTTATCTCTCTATCTCTCTCTCTCTCAAGAAAAAAAAACAAACATTAAAAAACTTAGAAATAAATATTGAAAATCTGCATTAATCCATGTGTTCAACACTTATTTCCTGAACATGCATTTTATACCAGCACTGTACTAGGCACTGAAGATAGATTTCTGAACAAAGTCTTCTTGGAAACTTGAAAAGCATACAAATAAAGACAGTAATTTGTCAAAGTGCTCTGTACTACTAAGAAATGATAGGCTAGGGTGTCCACAGAGTGATGTTAAAGAGAAGTAGTGGTGACAGGAGAGAGTAGCATGTGTGTAAATATTTCATAAGTAGAATGGATAGAAATTTGGGATTAAATGTTTTCAGAAAATAACATTGTAAAGATCATGGAAGATTAAGAGTAGACCTCTGACTTGTGCCATTAGATAAACTATGGCACTATTTAGAAAATCAGTTCGCATAGGGGAAGGGTGAACTTGGAATGGGAAAAGACAGTATGCCACTTACCTTCAGATCTGTTCCCATCTTTGTTCACCTTGGGTATACACCATGTGGCTGACCAGTATGAAATACAGGTTCTTTTGTTTTCAAGCTTCCAGTTGGGTTGAGACAATAGCGAGAAGATGGGAGGAGATATTCCCTTGGATCCCTCCATGAGAGCCCATCCCTCCTTTGACAGAATGTCACTGTTTCTGTCAGTGTGACTTTTTCTATATGAATCTCTCCTTCTGGGTTCCAGACACATTTCTTTTTCCCTTCAACACTAGTAGTATTAATGACTAACTCAGCTGTTACCAGCCTTGAGTTCCTGAGTTACTGGATTACCCCTTGTGGTGTTCTACAACTACTGTTCTACAACTACACCTATGTACAGACTCCCTAAATCAATTGCTCTTAGAGTCAGCCAGTTGTAGATAACTTGGAATTTGTGCTAATTTAAATATACTATTTGTTTCCTTTTTGGTCCCTGAATAATGATCCTGGTAATTATTACAGGTTTGGACCATTGGCTGCAACACCAGTGGGATATCCACGTGGAGGTATCTAGTAGCCAACCAGAAAATATGGCTGTAGTACTGCTAAATGAGATCTGAGCTAGATCCATTGAATTTAGGGTTTTCTAGTATCTTCCTTACATCTCTCTCTCCCCAGATAAGAAAGCAAGTTTACCACCAGATGTTGCTTGTGATTTCTGGGGAAAAAAATATTGGGAGAAGGGTTGCCAAACCACAGACTTCTCAGAAGAATTAAAATCTTGAAATTCCTTCTAGTAGTCTGGCTATTCCAACTGTAAGTTTTTGTGCCTCTAGCTCCTTCTGCATACTTACCCACAGCCTTTTTCTCACCAGAATTGTGTGCATAAAATCGTACAGGTGTTCCGGGCACAAGGCATCTGCAGAGTGGAACCAGGTGAAAGTCAGCAAGGTGAATCAGAAAAGCTTGCTGGGAAGGGATTTAAGGCAGAAGGAAGGAATTTGTAGTTGCTCTGAAGGTGGGGTCATATATATTTCTACTTTTGATTTCCCTGTGAGAGTTCTGAGAACATTTTGTGGGACTTATTGAAATATGCATCCCTTTTGTTGCTACGTACAGTGAAATGAAGATAATTTAAAGAGTAAATGAAAGTTTCTTTTTACTTTTAAAGAACAAAATTGTGAGCTCTACAGCCCAAGAATAAAATCTAAGAAACCAGTGGTCAAATGACAGCACCACTGCTTTAAGGTCTTGCCAGGTTAGTATGTACATTTGGTGCACAACCACTAGTATTTTTATGTGTCTTTGTCTAGTATTTCACACTGCGCTCCTCCTTAAAACTTTGAGATGAGTACTAGGTTGCAACCATTTACTACACTTGAGTTTCTCAAGTTACTCCCTCAGTGCTGCTTTGAGACTTCACTGTTTCTTCAGACCACACTGGTTGCACTCGGAAACTTACGGTGGTGGAAGGGATGTTTCCAAAGATTCTCTGCACAGTCACGTCAGTTTCAAAAAAAAAAAATATATTTTGCTTTATCACACAGATAAAGATAACTATTATCTTGATTGTATCTTGAAAGAAGGCAAATAGGCCTTTAAAAGAGCAATAAGTTAGGCAAGATTGTCAGATGTAGTTTTAGACAAAGCCATAAAACTTGAAACTGGAATTTCTCCAGCTGGTACATATAATTATGTCAATTTGTCTGTTAATCTATGAAAAATGTTAACTATCCATTTTGAGCATAATGGACTATTTGCTATATGCATATAACTTGAATTTTACCAGAGACAACAGGGACAATTAGGTAGACTATTTTTCTAAATTCTTTATGTCTAGGCAAAAAAAAAAAGAAAAAAGAAAAGAAAAGAAACAAAAAAACACCACAGTTATAAATATAAAACAGCCATCTTTAGGGTACAATTCTTCATTTGCAAGCCTAGAGTTTGTTGTGAATATATGTTTACAATATTAATTAGGGAGTTTTTAATTTCTAGTTTAATATTCTATGTGTGTTTTTATGAAGTCATTTTCTCTTTTCTAAGATTTGATTTTCTTTATGCAATTCTTTAATATTTTTAACACAAATATTTTATTTCATACAGAAAGAAGTTCTTTTTTAAATGTTTTTATTTATTTCTGAGAGAGATAGAGACAGCATGAGCAGGGGAGGGTCAGAGAGAGAGGGAGATACAGAATCTAACGCAGGCTCCAGGCTCTGAGCTAGCCATCAGCACAGAGCCCGACGTGGGGCTCGAACCCACGAACCGTGAGATCATGACCTGAGCTAAGTCGGATGCTTAATTGACTGAGACACCCAGGC